AGTCAACTTTCCGACCACGAACTTTCTTGAGACTAACCACTGTTGTGCTCAGAAAATCTTCGATCAAGTTTTCTTGCGTGCTCTATTACTACAAAAGGGCAAGTCTTCATCTGATATAGATACGTTACCAATCTCGGTGTAGATGAAAATATTTGAGGATATATGGTGCATAATCAACTGCTAAAGATTCATCGTCGTTTATAAAATACCAGTGCTCCACCTCTCCTTTGGAGGGTTTCACGCTGTTCATGTATGAAAGAATCAAACTTCTTTACAATGTTAGCAATATGCGCTTCTCTGTGATAAGGCTAGAAATTTGATCTCACCTTCTAACGCCGTTTCAAAGCAAAACCACAGTGTCTGTTTGATCCCACTGCTGTGCCTGCCCGTAGCAGCAGCAAAAGAACAACCAACTTACCACTTTTCAAACGGCTTTGTTTATTTACTGTTCTGCAGTAGACATGATACGCTTTATAACTGCTCTTTGATTTTTTTAGGAATGAACGATACAGACGGGGAAACATACATACACTTACAGCCAAACTACGAGCTTTACTATATCATTGATAGATATCCACATATACAAAATTTCTGAGCCAAGCCCAGGAAACGGTATTTTGGCTAGAATCTTTGGTCTTGATCTTTGTTGTTTTCAAAATTTTGTTCCATCTAAAAATATTCTGGAAGGCACTTTACGTTACTCGTAAATCTCCGACGGCTTAAATTTTGGCACAATTAGTAGATTTGAGTGTATGCCGCGAAACTAAAGTTCTAGCCCCACCGACATTTTTATTCTTGTTTTAGCTCCTTCGTAAGGTAATCATGTCATAGAATCCCGTTACTTCAACAAATTTCAAGATATATAGGCTTACATCTGTATGCAACAGCTCTCACTACTTTGCTTACTTAGCTCACATTAAGAACAGTCAAGAAGTCTCTGACTATACTCTTTCATATTCGCAATCCCCAAATTTAGCGGCATATTGGTAGTACCTAGGCATATTTAACAAAAATTTAATATTAGGGAACTCGTTTTGAGTGGGCCAGTCTTGGGCAAAGTGATTAAGAGTGTTTGTTTATCTGCTGTAGCACACTATTGACTCTCTTGTCAAACTTTTTGCTTCTTTTAAAACTCTGCTGCAACTAGGAAAATTCTAGGCACACAGATGCAACACTGCGAGTAACAGACCTTCAGGTTATGACGTGCATGTTGTGGCAGGCAGCTGCAGACGTTCATGAGTACAGGGAATAAAAACATCTAGACAGTAGTGATAAATGACACCTTCTAGAAGGGTAAATGCTTGGGGTATGGCTAAAAGTCACATTTTCTATTTCAAAACTAAGTATATCCGTGTAATAATCAAAAAAAACTTTCCTCCTTATCCTATATCCTTTTGATTCTTTTCCTT